AAAGAAAGAGAGAGGTAAAAATGTGAAATAAAATATACAAGTAAAGGACATTAAAGGGATTCGACCATGGTTTAACACAAGTTTCATAAGAAAAAACCCCAAAGTAATGGAAGGAAAGAAATGAAAATGAAAACAAAACCAAAAACAAAATCCTTTGAAAAGAAGATATATGTTTTATAATGAAAAAGTTCATCCACAGACATGCATGATAAATAGAAACAAACCCAAACTTAGATGCATCCCAGTAACCTTTCAGAAATCTAAAGAGAGAATTGTAAAGATTGAGAGAGAAAAAGCTAGTATGCATAAAGGAATAAAAATCTCACTGACATTAGATGTCTCATCAGCAACAATGGCCACTAAAAGTGAATGAAGGAATGCCTTCGAAGGCCAGAAGAGAATGATTTTGATTCTACAAATCTCTACCAAGCCAAACTATTAAGTGAGAGGGGGAAAAAAAAACATTTTCCGACATGTAAAAACTCAGGAAATTTACATCAATACTTTAGGAAAAAAAACTTATTCAAAGATGCATTCCAGAAACATGAGACAGAGAGTGGAACAGCACAGCACAGATGTGTAGGAGAGAGAGCAACATGAGATACAAGAAATAGTTTGTTGCGGAGTAGGATCAAGAAGAAATGAAGAAAATTGGCATGAAATTAAAGGAGGGTTCCATTATATTTGACATTTGAAAATTTTGAGTGTCAGAAACTTAGTGATATAAAATTGTATACTCTAGTATATTTATGAAATTTCACTCTTGTTTAGATGGTGAATAACATTTACATAATCATGGTTTTGAATATTCAGAATCAATCTGTAGACAAAGCATGGAAGACAAGAGAACACCATGTAAATGTCAAAAAACCCTCTACAATGTAGAAATATTAACAAACAAAACTGAGAGATGGAATAAGAAGAGACAGAAAACCAGACTTTTTTCATTTTTCACTGTGGCAAGCTAATAAAAACACTTAAGTTGCTAACAAAAGCTCTTTAAGTATGTTATATAAAGATAAAGGTAACGGGCTGGCCCGGTGGCGCACTGCTACAGTGCACCGCTTGGGAG